GGGAGGGAGGAAGAAGAATTGGGAAGAGGGAGAGGAGGGAGGGAAGGAACGAAGGAAAGAGGGAAAGAAGAGAAAAGGTGGATAGAAAACTATTTTGAGGGGAAGGAGGGAAGAAATGAGAGAAGGAGGGAGATGGGAAGGAAGAAGAATTGGGAAGAGGGAGAGAAGGAGGGAGGGAAGGAAGGAAAGAGGGAAAGAGAAAAGGTGGGTAGAAAAATATTTTGAGAGGAAGGAAGGAAGGAAGGGAGGAGGGGGAAAGGAGGGAGAGGGAGAGAAGGAGAGAGGGAAGGAAGGAGAAAAGAAGGAAGGAAGGAAAGGGATGGGAAGAGGGAGGAAAGGAAGGAAGGAGATTGGAAGAGGGAAGGGAGCGGAGAGGAGAGGAGGATACCGTACCTGCATCAGGTTAAACCTGGCCACTTCGTTGATGGGCGCATCCGAAATGATCCCATACTGTTCGGGGTTGACCACCGCTGGGCAGATGAAGCAGGCCAAGAGGAGGTCCGTGCACATGGCCCTGACCTCGCCCACCTCCAGCCGCTCCACGCAGGAGAGCGTCTTGTACATCTGGGACATGATCCACCTCAGGCTGTACGGGAAGCAGTAGGTGTTCTGCTTGAGGTAACCAATGAATTTGTTGACCAGGGCCACCAGCTTGGCCTCGTTGGTCTCCACCATCTCCTGGACCCTCTGGCGGAACCGCTCCGACCCCTTTTCCCCGAAGAGCTTCTCCTGCTGGGCGGGCGAGAAGCGCTCGATGAGCTTGTGGGCCTCGGTCTCCAGGTGGTCTTCGTCCGCCACCAGCAGCTGCATGATGGGCTCGTGCAAGGTGGCGGTCAGGAAGAGCTTGGCGGAGAAGAGGCCCTCGGAGAAGAGCTTGAAGAGGATGCTGAAGGCGCAGGTGCCCCGCCTCAGCAGCCGCCGGGGGTTCTCGCTCTCCTTCAGCTCGAACTCGATCAGGTAGCGCAGGACCTGGAGGAGGAAGCTCTCGTCCTCGGCCATGATGCAGTTGCCGTAGAGGGAGGTGAAGACAGTGTGGATGACGCTCTGGATGCTCTCCTGGCTTAGCTTCTCGCCGGCCACCAGGCAGGAGGCGATGAGGCGAGGGTTCTCGCGCAGCCGGTGGAGGAACTCGCCGTAGGCCGTCTCTTGGAAGCCCAGCTGCTTGTAGCCGTCCACAAACTGCGTGTCCTCCAGCACTTTGGCGTGCTGGCAACACTCCGCCGGCGAGGCATCCGCGCTGTAGCGAGGAAGGGGAGAGATTTCCTTACGGAGGTCCCGTGCGTGAAGGAGGCAGAACAGCAACGCACAAAGGTCCTCCTCGCCTTGCGACCGGCCCCTTGGAAATACACTCAAAAGTTACAACAATCCCCTCCAGAAGGACTTGCAACCTGTGTCGGGATTCCAGCAATCGCCCTAATTCAATCATGATCCTCGAGCCAAACTTCGAAAAACGGAGTGTTTGTTCAGCAGATATACTCTCAGTGTGCCCAGAGAAAGATCTGCCTCTACCTAGAATCGAACTCACAATCCTCCCGATTGCGAGGCGAGAGCTCCACCTCTGGGCACACCGCACCACTTAATACTATCCGTATTATTCTATACGTTCTATATAATCGTATATATTAGCTCCGTTCAAAACATCGTAAATAAAAATGCTGAAATAATAAGACTTCTATCCCATTCTTTCTCCGGGGGAAACGGTGGGAGATTGGAGGAAGACCTCCCGCGTTACCTGGTTATGATTAATCGGTCCAAGTTGATCCTCTGCTGCTTGGAGATCCACGCTGTGTGGTACAGCTTCTCGGCCGTCTTCAGCACCTCGGCGTTCAGCCTCTGGATCAGCTGCTTCTCCGAGTTGACGTAGAGCCGCTCCTGCTTCAGGTGGTGAGCCAAGGTGTGGATGTCCAGCTTGACCATTTTCAAAAGAGGAGGCAGCCACGGAAGAAGTCAGCAACGCTCGCTGCCGAGGAGGAGGAAAAGCAAAAAACGGACAGAGGTGAACTTGAGCTCTACCTTGGGAAGAAAAGTCTCTATGCACCTTCCGGCCCCCGCTTCTTGTCTAACGGGTGAAGAAGAACACAAGTCAACAGAACGTAGAATAATGGGAAGGAACCCTGGAGGTCTTCTAGTCCAACCTCCTGCTCAAGCGAGACCTTCTATTTGCTGTCCAATCTCTTCTCGAAAACCTCCAGTGCTGGAGCAACCGTAACTCTTGGGAGACAAGCAGTTCCACTGAATCCTCGCTCTTATTGTCAGCAAGTGTCTCCTTAATTCCAGGCTGGATCTTTCCTGGATCAAATGTCCACCCGTTGCTTCTTTTCTTGGTCTCTGGTGCTTTGGGAGATAAGGCAACTCCTCCTCCTCTCTGATAGCCCCTCAATTATTGGAGGACTGCTATCATGTCCCGCTCAGTCCTCCTCTTCGTTAGATTAGGCACACTCCTTTCCCTCTATCGTTCATCACCCGGTTTAGCCTCCAGACCCTTATTTATTTATATTTCACCTTTATTATTTTTACAACTAACTCAAGGCGGAGAACACACGATGCTCCTTCCTCCTCCTATTTTACACACCACAATAATCTCGTGAGCTGGATCTGGCTGAAAGAGCGCGAGGTTGACTGGCCCAAAGCCACCCAGCGGACTTTCAGGCTAAGGAGGGCTAGAACTCACCGTCTCCTGGGGATTGACCCAAACTCACCCAACTGGCTTCCCTGGCTAAGGTGGGACTCGAACCCACGGCCTCCCCCTTTCTAGCCCAATGCCTTAATCACTAAACCAAACTCTGAATTATAGTTACTTTCAGAGACCTTCCAGCTCTTGGAAGTTCTAAATGTCTTGCTGGAATGGATGTCTAATGTTATTGCTTCGACGCATTTTTCTCTTTGACCATGAAACCTTTCGTTGCATTAAAAGAGGATATATATGCACACACACACACACACACACACACACACACACACACACACACACACATATATACATATCCATATATACATACATGAGGCAGCCTATCAATTTATCTTCCATTTTCAGAATTTCTTGGGGATCAGCAATTTTCTCAGTTGGAAGGCTTCCTTTTTCAAGCCCTTGAAAGCAAACCCGATAAGCTTTACGGAACAAAAAGCTCTGTATGAAGTTTGATAAAAAAAAATTCTATATTGCAATAGCAGAAGTGGGACAAATGTGTGGGGATTATTTTTTTTTAAAGAGTCTGATGTTTCACAAAGAAGCACTTTAATCCAAAGGAAGCCATTCAGCATTTTATGGCGGGAACGTCATCTCAAAACAGGCCCTTGTAAAGCCATGTTGTGGGAAGAAACGGAAGAAAAAGGGAGAGAGAGAAAGAGAGAGAGAGAGAGAGAGAGAGAGAATGGCGTCTTGTTCATTCATCTAACCGTGTACATTCGAGAAAGGGAAGGAAAGGGCAGAGCGAAAAATATTTTCTTATGTGTAGAGACATTGATATCGCTCCCTTCAAGGCTGTATCCTTCAAAAGGGGCTTCCAGTGTGAAAACTATCGTTGGTTTAAAAGCTGATTATTCAGCCAGAGTTAAAAATACAGAGAAGGATTGTGGAAGGGACAATCTTCCCTTTAAAGAGCATCTTTAAATACAACTGGCGCAGGAAACGTTCGGCAAAAATGCCAGGACACACACAAAAAAGAACGTTTTCAACCGACGGAGGAGTCCCTGTGTTTCCGCAGGATAATACATTCCACACAATTGGGGCAGCCACCGAAAAGGCCCCGTTTCTCACCAAATCCTTCCTCATTTCTAAACTCCAGACGAGAGACTCTGATGTCGGCAAACAGGCAGCTTGGAAACTATTAGCAGCATTTTACCCTAAGAGACCACTTCATCTGCACAAATATATATTTCGGATATGTTGATCCGAGCACTGAAATGTTCGCATTTTCCTGGAATATGTACTATATACATAGAGAGTTTTCCTACGCCTGTGTAAATGTTTGGTTTTGCTATTTTGTATTTTCTTTTGTTTAATACTGATGTATCATTCCCTCCCATTTAAAAAAAATGCAAATATAAAAAGTATCGCAAACTGAAAACAAAACAATACACACGAGGCAAGTTGAGCCCTACGTTTCATCCGCAAAAACCTGCATTTTTCCTCTCCTAACTTTGGCACTTAAAAATCTTCAAAATTCGACTCTAGAACTCTCCGTCTCCTGGAGATTGGCCCAAAGTCACCCAGCTGGCTTTCCTACTCAAGGCAGGACTAGAACTCACCATCTCCTGGTAACTGGCTAACCTAACCGGTGTTCTGAGTAGGTATCAGGGTGTCTAATAACGCCAGGTCGAAAGTGGAGCTTAGAAAAATGAAAAACATCCTTCTTCAAACAAGCCAAAGTTCAGAAACCCGATCCGTTGGGTTTTTTTGCCAAAGGAGAGAGTAATTTCTCGGTTTAGTCATTCTCCTTTGCAGCCTTGAGTCCTTTCCTATCGAGGAAGCATCCCCAAGGAGGAGATAAGACAAAATATGCAGTGGTGCGGGAAATAAGAAAAATTCTATGAAGTCTGATCTCCAGCACACAGCTGGAAAATTCCTCTTCTAGTAGAACTTTTACAAAACAGGACCTCCAAGTTTTATGGCTGGTGGAGATTTCCAGGAAGTATTTGTGTTGTTGCTGTTTTTGTTTTGTTTTTAAAGGGGTTTTAATTTAAAGGGCTATAAAATTGAAGACTTAATTCCTTAAAGTACAGCTTGCTCTGTGAAAAGTATGCAATATTTCTTGGTTGATAGGTATTAAATGAGAACGGCGTTATTGGAGGGAAAAAGGACAATCACTGCTCTTGTGAATTGTGGGTTGTGTCTGCAGGCGCTTTAGAGCAAGCAGAGAAATACATCCTCTCTTTGTAAAACCCCGGCCAAGTAGTCCTTATCCTATGACCGCAATGGAGCGCCATATTTCCGTGGCTAAGCAAGGCAGTTTGGTGAGTGTTTGCTCCGCTGTGCGGCTTTTCTTGCCACGGCCGTTAAGTGAACCACTGCAGACCCTCAGTGATATGTTTGTTAGGTGCCTCTGCAAAAGGGGATCGACACGGCACTGCAACTGTCATAAGTACATGCCAGTTGCCAAGCATCTGAATTTTTGATCACATAACTACAAAGGTTAAATGGGGGGGGGGGGGGGGGAGGAGTCATAAGTACTTTTTTTACATGCCCCTGTAACTTTCAACAGCCTCTTGCAAATGATCTTGTTAATTCGCAGGATTTTATTTTTCTCCGCCATGCATCTCAACTAGATTGTGATGTTTCTCTGTGTCATATATGTTTGTGTACCTGGTTATATGCATAACAGTTGTTTTCTGAGAGCTGAAGGCAACAAAATTTCATTTGAATGTATGTTGGTTAGTGTACATTTAAAGTGACAAAGTTTCTATTCTATTTCATCTTCAATTCTAATTCTATTCTACTCTATTGCATCTTCAGTTCTAATTCTATTCTATTCCATTCTTTCCTCTTCTTTGTATATTGCCTCAGGATAGAGAAAATTCAACCTTTTGTATGGGTACATTCTGCAATTTTTCACCTTTGTGTATGTTTCCACCAGAATTCTTTCCATGGGCCATTTACGGTATGATTCTGAAAGAACAGGTTGGGAACAAGATTGTCGTAGTGGGAAAAAACAACAACTATCATTGACAATGAATCAATAGGAACCTGATGGCCACCTAATCAATTAATCCATCTTGATATAAATAGGAACAGACACATCATATCCCTTAAGAAAAAAAAGAACAGTTCTACTTCCACTTTCTCCTAGCATATTAAAAAACAAAAACAAACTCACATTTTTTTATAGCTAAACCATCAGGAACGCTGTGCTTAATGGTTTGGAATTTTATAATGAAACTACTTTGAGTTTGCAGTGATAATTTTTACTTCCTCTTCATACCAGATTTTCAAGTTTGTAACTGCATCAACATATATTTATCTCCTTTTTTTTTTTAAATGTCTACTCTAATTTTTCTTCTTCTCTTTTGCAAAATGCTAAGATTTGGGGACAAAACCAGTGAAGAATTGCAATTTTTCTCCCCTGCAATTTCTCCTACTAGGTTAGTCTGTTAAAACATCATGAAAGAATCTTTTGACTTCTTACAAGCCAACAAAATTATTAATGTATAAACTTTGGAATGAATCTGAAGGAGTGGGGTTGTTTATATAGTACGGATAGTCCTTGATTTACAACCACAATCGAGCCCCAAATTTCTATTGCTAAGCGAGATATTTCTTAAGTGAATTTTGTTCCATTTTGGGAACCTCTCCTGACAAGGTTGTTAAGGGAATCACTACAGTTGGGAAATTAGTAACATGGTTGTTGAGTGAACCTGGGTTAGAGTGAGGCTTGTCAGAAGGTGGCAAAAGAGGATGACATGACCCCAGGATGCTGCATCCGTCATAAATATGAGTCAATTCCCAAGTGGCTGAATTCGGTCACATAACCAAGGGGAATGTTGGACGGACGTGTAAAAAAACAGTCATTGGTCACGTTTTTCAGCGCCATTTACTAAATGAATTGCTGTAAGTCAAGGATTACATGGAATTAAATCAAGACTTCTCAAAACGTTTTAAGATTCTTCACTGCAGCAGAAGAATTGCTTAGTTCCAGAATATTCATGAAATACTGTATAATTATGAGTAATCGACAAGTCAGTTGATCAGTAAATTTGTCTGCATCAGAGCCAAATCAACCCTTGACATTCACAAATCACCTTCCGGTACAACCAACACAACTCAAAATGAAATCATCTACAGAGGAACAAGCTTGAGATCAAGCGGTTCAGACCCAAACCTCGTTCAAAGCAAACAAACACCAGAGATAAAAGCAAAACCTTTTTTAATGCTTCTCTGTGAATTCTATTCATTCACAGTAAAACGCTATTAAAAACCAATTGTCCCAGATAAGGACGAACCTTGCCAAGGTGGTTGCAAGGCTGCCAAGAACGCCAGATAAAGTTACTAAGAAATATTTCAAACACAAAGAGTCTCCAAACACCAAGATATTCTGAAGGCTTGAGTGCAAAAACTTCTTTGCTTCCTGCAAAGAACTCCGGTTTCTCAGCTGGCTTTTATCTCTGAAGGGAGGGGTGATCACCTTGCACCCTTACTCCCGAGTCCCCATTCACACGCTGGGACCAGCATTGCCCAACCTGCTGGAAGGAGGCTAACACGAGGTGCGTCTTTTGTGGCTCAACTTCTGCTAGAAAAGCAAGCCATCGCTCTCAGCCAATTGCACAAGCCAAGTTTAAAAGTGACGTGACCGGTTGCAGAGGAGTGGTTAACCTGGGATTTGCTCAGGAACAAGGACAAATCTTTATGAGGATCAAAGACCAGCTAGCGATAAAACAGATGGAGTAAACTCAATATGAGGCATTCGGATTGTTGAATGGACCACTTGGAACTGAATCTCCAAATCTCCAAGCCCTGCAAAACCAGTTTAAAACAGGAACCACCTAAGAATAAACTCCAGAAGCACATCTGATATTAAGAATTAACCTCCCAAATAATACATTCAAGATTTAAAGCAATTTCCACCGCCTCTATCCCATCATATCTATCTATCTATCTATCTATCTATCTATCTATCTATCTATCTATCTATCTATCTAGTGGTATCAGTGCATTTTCTTTGTTTTCTCTTTTCCCTTGTTTGCTTAAAAGTTCTATTGTTCTACTTTTGTGTTGTTCAAACACAAAAGGGTTGTTTAGAAATAAAAAGGGAAATAAAATCGTTTGAACAACGCAAGAGTTCACGGTTGTGAGTCGCCTAAAGTAACCTCATGGCGAGATAGGCAGCAAATAAATGTAATAATATTTTGTCCTAAAGACCTTAAGGGGTTGGCTGGAAATATTCTGGCTCGCGAACGAGGTCGAAGCATGAAACTGAACTGGAGGAAGAGGAGGTTTGTCAAAGCAAGAGATTAACCGAGAACAGTTGGGTGCAAAGAGAAGGCAGCCGGGCTAAATTTGGGAAGGAACAGGCGGTTGACATCAAAGCAAAATGCATTGGGGGGAGAGGGGGGTCAAAGGATTTGGGGGTGGTGACCATAATACCCTGAGCTTGGGAGGGAAACAGAAAGTAGGATGATGGCGGTGCAAAAATAGAAAAGGTGGGAGGGATTGACAACCTAGTCCTGCCTTAGTAAGAAAACCCAACTGGGTGACTTTGGGCCAACCACCAGGTGACAGTGAGTTCTAGTCCTGCCCTAGGCATGAAAGACAGCTATGTGCCCTTGGGCCAGTCCTCTCTCTCTCTCTCTCTCTCTCTCTCTCTCAGCCTAACCCACCTCACAGGGTTGTTGTTGGGAGGAAAATAGGAGGAGGCAGGAGTATTAGATCTGTTTGCTGCTTTGAGTACTTTGTAAAAATAACCAAGGTGAGATGCAAATCAATCAATATCCACTCAGAGTGACCCCCGAACCGCAAGGGAAGCAGCAAATAAATGTAATCGTAGTCCAATAAATACCAAAAGGGCAGAAAACCAAGGAATGGGGAAGGGGTGATGGATTAGGAGCAATGAAAGAGGGGGGCAGATAAGCCAGTCCTAAGGGAAGGGGCTGGGTGTAAATTAAGGGGAGGGGAGAGACCCCAGGTCGATAGGGGAAGGGAGCAGGGGGGTGGAATTGACAGGGGATTTGGGGGGGAGAGACCCCAATAAATAGGGGAGGGGCCTGAATTGACAGGGGATTTGGGGGGAGAAGAGACCCCAATAAATAGGGGAGGGGGCATGGAGGGGGGAGGGGGCGAATTGAGAGGGGATCTGCAAATGCAAAGACGGGAGGGGGCTGGAAAGGGGGCGGGGGGGACGGAGGGGGGGCTTCAAGGGCAACCCAAAGGGCAGGAGGGAGGGTATGGGGCTTTGCCGCCCCCCTCCTTCCCACTAGGCCCCACCACGAGGCCCGGGAGTGGAGGGTGGGCCTCCCCGGCGTCCTCCCCAGGCCGCCCCCCCCGCCCCCGCCCCCGAGGGACCCACCTGAGGGGCAGAACCGCCTGCCCGCCCGTCTCTCGCCGACGCTGCTCCCGGACCCGCCGCGGACGCCCCACCGCTCCGCAGCCGCTGGCCGACCCCGCCACACTGCGCCTGCGCGCCCGCGGCACGCCGGGAAGCCGAGTCCAGGCCCGGTCCAGCCTCTCTCCCGGCGCGTTGCGGAGGCGCCGGGAACTACATCTCCCGTTGTGCCCCGCGGTGGAGAAGAGGGTTTGCAGGTGAGAAGCGCCTGCTTTACCTGGGAAGGTGGGAAAGTGCAGGCGAGGGGGGGGGCTGCGGGGCCTGTGGGGGGCGGATTGGCAAGTCTGCTTCTCCGAAGCCGCTTTTGGCTTGCCCAGGCCAAGCCCAGGTTGGTTTTGCTGAGCTGGGTGCAAATCAGTGGGGTTCCCCCCCCCCCCCCCCCCCCCCCCAAAAAAATCAGGTTTGGAAAGCAAGGTTGCACTTCCATTACCCTGGTTAATATTCGGTGGAAGCCTATTGGGAAATCGCTCCCCCTTGTACGTTCGATTAGGACATGGGAATTAACGTCCGGGAATAAGGAAGAAGCCACTACTTTGCCAAGAAAACTATAGGATGGATGGGTGGATGAGAGGGAGGGAGGGAAAGAGAGAGAAGAGAAAAGGAAAAGAAAGGAAAGGAAAAGAACGAAAGAAAAGGTTGATGAAAGCCAGATATATAATATGATAAAAGCTAGATATAATTAATGATGATAGATAAATATATAGATAAGAGAGAGAGAGAGAGAGAGATTCATATAGTCCCCAGAAATGAAATAGAAATCTGCTATAATGGGACCCTAATAATTAGAGGGAGACAGAACTGAGATTTAATTCATAAAGGATGGGAAGGCACCCTGTAAATCTTCAAAGGGAAGTTGTAAGTGTACCAAAAAGGTTAACTCCCAAAGCGAGTTTAAATCTCAATCTCGTGGCCTTGAAAGAGTAATTAATAAATGGATGCTGGAATCCAACAAGAGTCTTGACATTTACGTTTTCAGTATCTCCTCCAGGGCAAGGATGGTTCTGTTTTGATTTGTTTTTACTTTCAAGTTGGTAAACAGTGTAATGAACAAGTCTGGACACATCTGTTTAAAGGGATGTGTTAAATCTTAATGTTAAGGCCTCATTGGAGATTCCCTAAATGTCATTGTTTTGTTTCATTCATATTTATTGTTGTTGGGTTGTTCATTCTAGTCCAGGACCATATTTGCCAACATCTTAACTTGGTTATTGGATTTACCTGTGTTTTGGGTTTGCGTCCAATCAAGCCTTAAAGTAATCAAATGGGCTGGAGTTGACCAAGATTCTAAGACACATTGAACTAACCAACGTTTTATTAATGTTCACGTGTTGTGTGAATGCGGCTCTCGGTAGGTAGTTGACCAGGTTCAGCATGTTTGAATACAGCTGATGACCTAATAAATTGACATTCATGGAACAATGCAAAATATGCTTTAATTGGTTTAATTCATTGCCTTAAAATGAAAAGCACCAATCTATTTTATCCAATCATTTCGAATTTTCTGCGCAGAGAAACACTGTTGGTGGAGACCAGGGCAACTGATCCAATTCCTATGCTCTCCAGTACAGTTGATCTCTTGATGCTCGCCAATAACAAGTAGAGACAATGAACTATAATTGATGTGATGTAATTAAGATTGGTGCTATCTCTGGGTGTGAATGTTTCTTCTCCATATTACAAATGAAGACACAGAAGAAAAAGTGACACCCCTGTGTATATGCTCTCTCCCAAATTGCTTTCTGTCGATTGTGGTTTCTCAAGAAGTGGCTCAAGCACATTTTCTGCCCGGCTCATGTCTATTTTTAGAATCCTTCGAGCGTAACACCTTGAATGGCAATTGGCATTTTGGCTAGCAAAGGAGAAGCAGTTCTGTTTACAAGCGAACAGAATTTCTCGTGCATTCTCCAAAGACTATTGGCTTGGTGCCCCATGCCAAAATGAAATATTATGATGCCGTGAACAGAACTGAACATGCTTGCATTCAGCCAGCTGTCGGGTTAAAATGTGCACCTTTGGAGCACTTTTTTTTTTAAATGGATTTGAAGAATGGAGCTGCTGGCTTATAATCTAAAAGAAATATCACCAGAGGAAATCTGGACAAGGTGGGCAAAGGAAAAAGCACCAGATCGAAACTATTGGCTCTTAAAAGTGAAATGTTCCCCAGCTTAGATGCCCTGCCTACTTGTTGGATGCTGGCCAAGTCTAATATATATTATTTTGTCATATATGCAAATAAATGGAGACTATTACTCAAGAAAGACATGTTTAGAAAAGTCCGGGCTAAAAATTATATCACTGCACCCTCTACAGTCAAAGGCAGAGTATAGAACTGAACCCAAAGGAAGAGAGTTAAGATAAGGCTTGTTTGCTTGTAGACACATAAATTGATATGTGTTATATGTGTATAATTTGTAGCTGCTTCTATAAAGTAGCAAATTATGAATGCTGTAAATAGATAATAACAAGAAACAAATAATAATAATTCCAACTGCAAGGCAGAGCAGGCTTTTTCCCTTAAAAAGAGATGCCACGTGTTGGTGTCAACAAGTGTCACTTGGTAGTATTAATATTTCTTTTGAACAGTTGGAGGGAAAACACTAGAGGTGATCCTTGACTTACAACCACAATTGAGCCCAAAATGTCTGTTCTTAAGTGAGATATTGTTTTAAGTGAATTTTGTCCCATTTTACGCCTTTCTGCCACAGTTGTTGAGAGTCATTTCAATTGTTAAATTACTAACAGTTGTTAAGTGAATTTGGCTTCCTCATTACCTTTGCTCGTCAGGTTATAAAAGATGATCACGTGACCCCAGGACACTGCAACCGTCATAAATATGAGTCAGTTGCCAAGGGCCTGAATTTTGATCTGATCTGTCTGAATTGTAACCATGGGGGTTACAATGGTTGTAAGTCTGAAAAACGGTCTTAAGTCACTTTTTTCAGTGCCGTTGTAACTTCAAATGGTCACTAAATGAATTGTTGTAGGTCGAGGACAACCTGTACATGTTTTTGTAACTTTTATTGTGCACAATTGTAGCTGGATGGTGAATACCAGCTGCAGCATGTGACACTTTAATAAATAATGCTAAGATTTAGTGGGATTTATTAGACTATGCTGGGTATATTGTTCAAATTCAATTATACTAGTTTGCAAATCAGAATAGAATAGAATAGAATAGAATAGAACAGAACCCTGGCAACGCCTGTGGAGGCCAGCTAGGCCTCGTAACCATGGTTATTTCAGAAGGGAAGCCCCTCCCCCCGCCTGGTCGAGTAAGGAACGTCTCACCCACACGTTGCACGACGGTCTCCTCCTTGACCAATCGGCACTCTCCGCTTGGCCTACGGCGCGGACTCCCATTGGTCCGCGATGCCGGTAGGACGACCCAATGAAGCATGCGGCGGCAACGTAAAAAAAAAAAAAGCCCTCCAAAAGGAGGAGGAGGGAGGAAGAAGAGTGGGATGAAAAGGAAAAAGGAGGAGGCAGGGGAGCGTTATGCGCGTCACGTTCGGAGCGGTCCAATCGGGCCCGGCCAGCTTGCTAGCCGGCGACCAATAGGGAAGCTCCAGCGAGGGGAAATGCACCAATGGGGGAGCTCCACGCAAGGCTGCGGGAGGCTATATAAAGCGCAGATGGGCGCCGGGGCATGAGTAACCTGATCGGAGCATCGCAAGGTCGGCGGCGCGCGTCCTTTCTCGGCGAGATCGGTGAGGCCTGGCGGGGGTGGCATCTTAGGGGTGTAATGCGTATGTGGGCACCTGCCTTAATTTCCCTGCAGGGATCCCCAAATAGGGAGGAGAGGGGCTTTAATTTGACCCTACTCCAGATCCCATCATCCCCAGCCTGCAGGATCATGGAACTGCGTGGGGAGGTCTGCAAGAGGAAGCGGGGGACGTTTACTCTAATATTTCAATTTCTCATTGGATCTAGCTTTATTTGATGCCTGATTTTTAATTTGATATAGAGATATAGGTATAGATATATATATTACGTGTAGAGAGATAAAGATTATATATGTATGTATCTATATATAAAAGGTCTATATTACAGGGGTGTAGATATATATAAAAGTTATGTCATATATATGTGTGTGTATAAATGATTATATAGGTATAAGTATACGTGTGTGTATATATATATATATTTATACATATATATTTGATAGCTGGGAATTGGCTTCTCTCATTTTCCCTGTGGCAGCATTTTTATTTGTGATCTTTTTACTTAAAAAGCATTTTTTTTCAGCCCTCTTCTTATCCCCAAAGTTCCTTTTCGTTCTTTCTTTTAAAAAGTACATTTTGCAATTCTTAAAAAAAAAAAGAGGGGTACAGTTAGTTCCTTCCATTCTGGGGTTGGGGGGGGGAGGAGGAAATTGACGGCATTATTACAGGGTTGGTGGAAAGAAAAAAACGGAGTTTAATGTTGGCTGTCAAAACCTGGGAAAGTTGGGTTTGTCCAGCCTGCAAAGTGACCCACGTTGGGAGCACCTTAACCTGACGCAACATCTGTTAGCATCCTTAGAGGCTACGGGGATTTAATTGGCTCTTTTTTTTCCCCCTCTTTTCCTGGGCTGGTTTCACCCCATTCGATGCCCGGAAATGCCAGGTGGGCATAGAATGAATGAGGTGAAACCAGCCCAGGAAAAGGAGGAAAAACCAAATAATACGCTGGAAAAATAGGCCAGGAAAAATAGGCCGTGCATTTTGATGTAACGCTGTCGTCCGGTTGTCCTTCCCATGCACAAGCCACATTAAAACTGGTTCCAGCATAAGCGGAGGACAAAATCTCTTAATTTTGTCAGGGTTTTTTTTTTGGGGGGGGGGGGGGGTCCCCTGCAACCAGCAAAGTGCAAAGTCTGAATTTAAAAAAAAAACACGTAGGGCTGGATTTGATTTCTGTCGGCCGTCTCCCTTCTTGTGTCGTCACTTCCTGTGGGTTCTTCCATGAGTAGCGATGATGTAAAACCCTCCGGGGAGAGAGGAGGGGGGTTATATGTAACTCCGTCTGGTCTTAACGCTCTATGGGGGGGTCGTTCTTCCCGCAGGGTGTTTATTTTCCCCATTTGACGTTGAGCCTAAAAAAGAAAACCCCTCCGAACCATCGACATGAAGTACTACGCCGTCCTCTGCCTCCTGCTGGTGGGCAGCGCCTTGGCTACCGATGATGACGACAAAAAGGAAGAAGTGGGGACCGTGGTTGGCATTGATCTGGGAACCACTTACTCCTGGTACGTAAAAGAAGGGCCGTTTCCATCAAGGAGTGGGCAGAGGGAGTACTGGGTTCAGTTTTGGGAAGCGCCTCGGTGCAGAATGTGGCTGGAATTGGGTACGAGGTTGGGTTAGAGCCCCAAATCGAAGGCCAACTTTTTGGGTGGCCTCAGGCAAGACTTGGTGGCCTGCAAGCAGATGTTCCAAGCAGTGGGGGAGAATATTTGTAGCTCAGGGTTGGACGGTGGGGTCCTTGGGGCTCTCTGAGCTGGGTGGTTTGCTTGCAGACGTTTCATGACCCAACTAGGTAGCTCCATCAGTGCTAGAAAGGAGTGGGACTTTCTGTTTATATGTAGAAGCTCTGAGCTTGGTTTTCTTGCAGATGTTTCATGACCCAACTAGATTACATTATCAGTGCTGGAGTGGGTTTGCTCTCATTTTATGTATGCACAACCTTGCAACGCAGGCAAATTCGCCATTGAGAATGAAATAGCTTGAATGTTCTGCCTCAAGATGGCTGCCTGGCTGCAGTGCTCTGTTGACGCTTTTATTTTTAAAATTGCAACCCTATTATTGATGGAATGGCCATTCTCTCCTCTAGTGTCGGAGTCTTCAAGAACGGGCGTGTGGAGATTATTGCCAACGACCAGGGCAACCGCATCACGCCATCCTACGTGGCCTTCACTCCGGAAGGAGAGCGTCTCATTGGTGACGCCGCAAAGAACCAACTGACCTCCAACCCTGAAAACACCGTTTTTGATGCCAAGCGTCTGATTGGGAGGACGTGGAATGACCCTTCGGTGCAGCAGGATATCAAATACCTGCCTTTCAAGGTGTGTGCCAGGCGTTACCCCCCAGAAACACCCTGTAAAAATCTTTTTTTGCAAGGCCCCCCAAGTGCATTGCTTACACCTAGGCTGGAATTGCTCAACAGTTGGTTCACCCATCAAACTTCAGCCACTTTGCTAATCTTCTAAATTTGTGGAACAAAGATTAGGAGTCCAATCTTAGGCTTGGAAATATAGCAGCATCCACCTTAGCTTTGTATATTAAATTTTTAAGTGGGTTCACCTTGTCTTTGGAAAATACTCTCAAATGTGGCTCTTTTGAAGGACTTCCAATCTTCTATTAGAAACTAGAAAAATGTTTAGTTCGGTCATTAATAACAGTTTATCTGTACTTTGGAATATAAATTAGCCTTTTTACTTTCAGGGAAAAAAAAAGTTTTATGTTGCAGTTCTGGATTGTCATAATATCTTAATCCTCCTTGTCCTGAACAGGTTATTGAAAAGAAGGCCAAGCCATATATCCAGGTTGATATCGGTGGGGGCCAGACCAAAACTTTTGCCCCAGAAGAAATCTCCGCCATGGTTTTGACAAAGATGAAAGAAACTGCTGAAGCCTACTTGGGGAAGAAGGTAAAAGGCCTAGTTCCTGGAGGCGGGGTCCTTTCTCAGGAGTAATTTTTTTGTGGAGTGAATTACATCAATTGCTTCATTTATCTTATTTCTTTTATCTTCATCCTTTATCTACTTAGGTCACCCACGCCGTTGTCACTGTGCCTGCCTACTTCAACGATGCTCAGCGTCAGGCCACAAAGGACGCCGGCACTATCGCGGGATTGAATGTCATGAGGATCATCAATGAACCGTAAGTCGATGCCACCTCCTCATGTTGACCTTCTACTGCCATCAAGGGGAAGGTGTGTTATGCCTTTTGCCCTTGTAGTATACATATAAATATACTATCTTGGTAGCTGTGCTTCGCTATGAAACTTATGTGGTCATGCTTGGTTTTGGGGGTGGAAAACAAGGGGTGGAGGGAATTCTGCATCTGCCTACCAGCATCCATCTGTATTCATCTGGGTAGTGTCAATGTGTGAGGGAGTTGAGAGCTGTTTGGAAACTTGAAACAGTATTTGCTATGTGAGCAGGGAGACAGCAAGGAGCCTGGCATAGTTTAGATCAACTGTTCTGTACTAAAGCTGCTTGGTGTTCTGAAACAAACTGAAACTCCTCTGCTGGTATTTTGCATTTGTAAGAGATTTCTTTCCAGGTGGGGAGGGGGAGTAGAACTCCTTAGCATCAGAGTTTGTTGTTAATAATCATAATAATGGAAATACTCTAAATGCTCTGAGGGTCATTTGGAAAAATCCTTTCTTAGTTGAGCCCCTAGAAGCCAAGAGGAACATAGGTGCCAAATGTCAAGTTTGTAGGCTTTACGGTTCTGGAGATTTTGTGATGATGCCTGAGGGATAGCTTCGCTTTTATAGAGAGATTCCTTTCTCCTTGCAGCACTGCAGCCGCTATCGCTTACGGCTTGGACAAGCGCGAAGGAGAAAAGAACATCCTGGTCTTCGACCTGGGCGGCGGAACCTTTGACGTGTCCCTCTTGACCATCGACAACGGCGTCTTCGAAGTGGTGGCCACCAACGGAGACACTCACCTGGGCGGAGAAGACTTCGACCAGCGGGTGATGGAGCACTTCATTAAACTCTACAAGAAGAAGACTGGCAAGGACGTCCGGAAGGACAACCGGGCGGTCCAGAAGCTCCGGCGAGAAGTGGAGAAGGCCAAGCGAGCCCTGTCTTCTCAGCACCAGGCTAGGATCGAGATTGAGTCGTTCTTTGAGGGCGAAGACTTCTCGGAAACCCTCACCAGGGCGAAGTTTGAAGAACTCAACATGGTAAGGCGTTGACGTCTCTCTTTCATAAATCTGACCCAGTGAAGTTTGGGTGGAGGGGAAAGAGTATAGAATATAGGAAGAACCTTCCTAGGGTGACCAAAGAAGAACCCAAAAGTAGCTGTAAAAACGTCGAATGAAAACGTTTGACGTGATGGAGCGGCTTCTGCAAGATACAGGAGTCTTCAAGTTTGGCAGCTGTTAAGACTTCGACTCCCAGAATTCCCCAGCCCCCATGCCCATGGCTGCCAGGGGGATTCTGGGAGTCGAAGTCCACAAGCTTTAAAAGTTGCCAGTGTGTGGAGATCTCTCTTGTTCTACTACTTAAAAAGCACCGGAGGGCAGAAATGTACCTCTGGTTGTCGGAAGCCCACAATAAAAGCGTCAAAAAAAACAACACCCCAAGCCGTTAAATTCCTTTCCACTCCTGCTTTCCAGGATCTTTTCCGCTCCACCATGAAACCCGTCCAGAAAGTTCTAGAAGACGCCGACCTGAAGAAGTCCGATATTGACGAAATTGTCCTTGTGGGCGGCTCCACCCGGATCCCCAAAATCCAGCAGCTGGTGAAGGAATTCTTCAACGGCAAAGAACCGTCGCGGGGCATCAACCCCGACGAAGCCGTGGCTTACGGGGCCGCTGTGCAGGCTGGCGTCCTTTCTGGAGATCAGGACACAGGTAAAGACTCGGGGGGAAGGTGGCACGTGGGAAGCAGCAGGTCCAGGTTGGGCTTGAAGGGTTGGGATTTCTGAGCTTTTCCCCTTCCTCCTCTTCAGGCGACTTGGTGCTGCTTGATGTCTGCCCCCTGACTCTGGGCATCGAGACGGTGGGAGGCGTCATGACCAAACTCATCCCGAGGAACACCGTAGTCCCCACCAAGAAGTCCCAGATCTTCTCCACGGCTTCCGACAACCAGCCGACGGTGACGATCAAAGTCTACGAAGGTAAATCCATTTGCCTGTGTTCTTCCCTGTGAGTAACTCAAGGCAGCGAACATACCCAACACTCCCTCTTCCTCCTCTTCCTCTTTTCCACACAGCAACAGATCCTGTGAGGTGTGGGCTAGGTTGAGAAAAGAGAGGGACTTGGCCCCAAAGATACCCAGGCAGCTATCATGCCTAATTTCAGGACTAGACCTCAGCGTCTCCTGGTGATTGGCCCAAAGTCACCCAGCCAGCTTTCATGCTTAAGGCAGGACTAGAACTCATGATCAGCTCCAGTTCTATTTTTTTAAATGCTAAATACAACATTCGCCTTGCCCACCTACTGAAAATGGACCGTAGCTGAAATGAAAATAACTTTGAACAAGTCTATTTGTCACTTTTAACTTCAGGAATAATACGGTCCATGTTTACTACATGCCACATTAGGTACACTTGCACCCTAGGTCAACTCATAACATTTCTATGCCTGGTTTAGAGTTGCCATGAACAGGAAGGGTGGTGGGGTGGTTTGAAAAAAGCAGGGCAGCAGTTTGGAATCGGATGTGCACTCCATTCATATCTTGCAAAGATGATAACTAAGCTAACCAGAATTTCTGCCATGGAAATCTCTAATTGGAGAATAAATCCTTCGAAATTTTGGAAACTTGGCTGGAGGCTCATGATTTAATTAGGGCAACTGCCCGGAATCCTGAGCGCCCCCCATGCTTGAACAGGAAAGGAAGGTTGAGCTAGAAGACCTCACAGTTCCCTTCCACCTCTGTTGTTTCGTTGGGTCTGAGATCTGGAAGTTACGAAGTCGTGGATCGTTTTAGTTTAAAAAAAAAAAGTGAGGATCCCTCCAAATCTCTCGCCCACACGAATCGCGTTTCCCTCCCCTGTAGGCGAACGCCCGCTCACCAAGGACAACCACCTGCTGGGCACCTTTGACCTCACCGGCATCCCCCCGGCACCGCGTGGCGTCCCTCAGATCGAAGTCACCTTCGAGATCGACGTGAACGGCATCCTGCGGGTGACGGCGGAGGACAAGGGCACGGGCAACAAGAACAAGATCACCATCACCAACGACCAGAACCGCCTGACGCCCGAGGAGATCGAGCGGATGGTGAACGACGCCGAGAAGTTCGCCGAGGAGGACAAGAAGCTGAAGGAGCGCATCGACGCCCGCAACGAGCTGGAGAGCTACGCTTACTCGCTGAAAAACCAGATCGGGGACAAGGAGAAGCTGGGGGGCAAGCTCTCGCCGGAGGACAAGGAGACCATCGAGAAGGCCGTGGAGGAGAAAATCGAGTGGCTCGAGAGCCACCAGGACGGCGACATCGAGGAGTTCAAAGCCCAGAAGAAGGAGCTGGAAGAAGTAGTGCAGCCCATCGTGGGGAAGTTGTACGGCGGAGCAGGTCCTCCCCCCGGCGGGGACGAGGAGGCGGCAGGGGAGAAGGATGAGTTATAGGCCTCCCCGGGCCTTTTTTTTTCCTTCCCCTGCTTTCCTTCTTGAACGGCCACGTCGTGTAAATAGAGGACTTTTGGACATAACGTTATTTTGGGTTTTTTTTTCCTTCGGTTTAAGCTATTGAACTCGAGAAACTTGGGATGTGGTCAGAATCTTCACGTCAGTGGAGTTTGGAAATGTTTATAGCCCCAAAGCGGCTGATTTACTGCTTTTCGTTAGCGGTTGATAAATTGTGTCCCCGGGGGTGGGATTGGGAAGGGAAATGGGGGGGAGATTAACTTGCCCAGATGGGGGGGGGAGGAGGACTTTCTTTGAAGCCGCCTCCTTAACCGATTGTTCTATTTAAAAAAAAAAGAAAGAAGGAGGTTATGTGTGTTCCATGGAGAATTTTTTTCTACCCTCCGAAAGCGCCAATAAATTTGTTATTTACACTGAATTTTGTCCGGTTTTTGGTCCCTTTGGTTATTGGAGTGTTGGAAGGAAGAGTTGTATCGCAGACCTTTCATTACCCATCTAGGTGACGTCATCAGTAGTTAAAAAGGTCTGCGACCAAACAATGAAGCTTAGAGAGCACGAAGGACCCCGCTCTCCTCATCCTCGTTGAACGACGGCAAGAAAAACGCCCAACCTCAAGGGGCAGCACCAAGGACCCCCAAGTTGTCGTCCTCCTCCCCTGTCTCTACGAACCCTACTCCCTTCTAGTACTGATGGCGTTCCCTAGTCAAATCTTAAAATTAATGAAATAAGACAGAGGTACGTATATAATAGGAATAAATCTCTAAATGCGAAATGCCCCGCACGCATCATCACAAAAACTCCGGAACCGTAAAAAGCCTACAAACTTGAAACTTGGCACGTAGGTTCCTCTTGGCTTCTTAGGGGCTCACTAAGAAAGGATTTTTGGAAATAACTACCAGAGCATTAGTATTTCCTATATTATTATTATTACTATTAACACGCTCTGATGCTAAGAAGTTCTACTCACCCTTCCCACCTGAAAAGAAATCTGTTCCAAATACAAAACAGGAGCAGAGAAGGTTCAGTTTCACAGCAGCACCAAGCAGCTTTAGTACAGAACAGTTGAGCTAAGCCACACCCAGGCTCCTTGCTCACACGGCAAATACTGTTTTCAGTTTCCAAACAGCCCTCCACTCACGCACTGACAGGACACTAGCCAGAGGAATATTGATGGACGCTGGCAGGCAGAGGCAGAATTTTCCCCCCCTTATTTTCCTCCCCAAAAACCAGCCCCGCCACATAGTGAAGCACATCTGTGGAGCTAGTTGGGTAATGAAACATCTGCAGGAAAACCACCAGGCTCAAAAGTGCACCAACCCTGAGCTGCAAATACCCTTGTTTATTGAAACCCGTTTATTCCCTAGAGCCTTGCTGGGTGCAGGTTGAGACTACAAATACTTCCAACATGTCTGATTTTAAAATTTTTAAACGGGAAGAGTTAAATACGAGGGGTAACTAATACAGATGGAGATCCAAGCCACGGGCACCCGCACATCAGACCGCGAGTCTTGCCGCTTTCCCCAGCCTAACTTCCTTCTTCTAGCAGGCTGACGATACAGTCGTCGTAGATCTGCCCTTTCATGTTCATGCCCCCAAACACCAAGCAGAGGTGGGTGCGTCCGCCGGACGTTTCCCAAGGAATCACGCACATGGAGTGGTCCAGCCGTCCAGAAGGGACCGGAGCGTTGAACTCCAACTGCGTCCAATGCTTTTTCTCTGCGGCGGTTTCGTGTTCCCAGGAAGAAAACAAAACGGGTTATTTTATTTTAGAAATCGGGCAGCGAGGAATATCTTTAATATTCCTATTTTCCCCACAACAACAGTCTCCCAGCTGGCTTTTATTCTTAAAACAGGACTAGAACTCATGATCAGCTCCAATTTTGTTTGTTTTTTAAATGCTAAAGTACAACGTTTGCCTTGCCTCCCTACTGAAAATGGAACCTGGTAACCTTAACCACAAGTTCCATATCCTGTGTGCCTACTTAGACCTCAACCTGAGCCTAACTTGCTTTGACTTGCATGACTAAGAAACGCCACAAGGTCTTTGGAAGATGGCTCCCACTTTTGCCCCCCAGACAAATCCTCAAATTTATTTTTAATGAGTACAGTTAACAAAGGCACTGAGGGGAGGAAAAAAAAGTGACTTTTGACTGTTTTCCACACCATTGTGGAAATCCCCACCGTCACATGATCGAAATTCTTGGCAACTGGCATGTACTTCATGCCGGTTGCAGTGTCACCGGGAGGTGGGGGGGAAGTCCAGCGATTTTTGCGACCTTCTGACCAACCAAGTCAATAGGGAATCTATTAGGGAATCTCCACAGCCTTTGAATTGCAGCGATTCGCTTAACAACCGGGGTAAGGAAGGTCCCAAAACGAGGCAAGGCACCCTTCACAATTTTGCACAGCGCTGGTGCTTAATTGGGGTTGCAATTAACTGTACCCCACTATGACAATTGGATGTGGTAGATCATTAACCACTTTCCTCCCTCCTGGTCTTAACGTTTTTTCACTGAAATTGGCCCTTCAGCTGCCAAATCCATCAATAAAACAGATCTCTGAAGGCTTAAAAAAGGGGTCCCTGGGGAAGAAAAGATTGAGAATCGCTGCTCTAGGGAAGACTTGGAGAGGTGAACGTCGTCCTGGAAAAGCCATCCCACCTAAGACGAGAATTCAAATAATCGCCAAGAATACCTAGGTGGTATCTGTACATGGTGTTGAGTTCCCCCGTGGGGTCCATTCCTCCGAAGACGTAAATGTGACTTTGGAAAGCAACGGCTGAGTGGGCTGCCCGGCCTCCGGGAATCGACCCCGAGGCGGCCAACTTCTCCCATTTGAGGTCTTCTGCGGAGACAACAGGATAAAACCCCTCAGGGCTTGTTCTCTGGGTGCAAAATGCCACTAAACCATGGCTTGCTTTGGTCTAGATGACCTCCCCCTTAAAAGGGGGCATTTCAGGGTTAGGAATAGCCATCTTCTCCACAGGAGGATCTCACCACAAAGCTGGGTGAGACTCAAACACAACTTTGTTGCTAATTTTAACACCACAGGGTATACTTACTTATGTCAATGGAGAACAGGTCATCGTAAAACGTGTCCCCTGCCAAGCCGCCATGTACAAACAGTCGATTCTCAACGGCTACCACCACGTGACCATGCCGAGGAGCAGGAGGCTGACCATACACCTCTGGCTGCGACCACGTCAACGTGGCTGGAAAGGGAAACAAAACTAGGCTTGCTTCTCCTCAAACTAGCAATAGCACTCAGCCCTTGGACTTACATACCGCTTCACAGGGCTTTTACAGCCCTCTCTAAGCGGTTGACAGAGTCAGCCTATCGCCCCAAACAATTTTGGGCCCCCATTTTACCCACTTCGGAAGGATAGAAGGCTAAGTCAACCTTGAGCCCCAGGTGGGATTTGAACTTGCCAAATTGCAAGCAGCTGGCAGTCGGCAGAAGGAGCCTGCAGTACTGCCCTCTAACCACTGCGTGGCTCTTGTTAGAACGAAGACATTTTTCTAACGTGCCCATTTTCCAGAGAAGCAAAGGATGGTTTAGTAGGATGGGGGAAACAACCCCAGCCCAAAATAACAAATGTTGCATGGAAGGCTGGGATTTGCAGTTCACCTACTTATTTCAGGCCTTGCCACTGCGCGCAACTGAAAGCCTTAAATTTGTTCATTTACCTGAGTCAAATACGTGAAGTTGCTGGTCTTGGACAGGATCGACCCCTTTATGTCCTCCTCCAAACACATATAACCGATCCCCAATGGCTGCCGTGGAGGTGTGGAACGTGCGAGGGCTGGGTGGATCGCCCCTCACCTTGGGTTTCTCCCACAACTCGGATTCTAGGAAGAGAAAGCCACGAGTAGACACCGACAATGAGACTTCCTGAATTCTGTACAGAGGCCACAGAGCGGCTGTTGACTGAGCTACTGTGTAAACTCGCCCGATTTTGCAAGTTTATTTGGCACGGCCGTTCCCTCAACACCGCCCCCCCTACTCTCCCCCCAAGCAGAACAAGAGGAAATAGACAAGAAGGTTTGGCATGGCTATTAAACGAATGTTGGATGCTGGCATTAAAGGACATTTATTTACCTTTTGGATTTTGTTACGTTCGTGCTACCCTCTGGGTCATCACAGGTTGGTGAGGCAGGGGCCAGCGGTCAGCCCCCGATTTGGCTCAGATAAGAGCAACGGACCGAGCAGAGGGAATACTTACCAAGATCCAACACTTGTACACAGTTCCTGTTGCTGGTTTCACTAGCCCCTCCGTACACCCAGACGGTGTTGGGACGGCTGGTGGGGACAAACGCAGCGTGTTCGTACCGTGGCAAGAGATTCACCCAGCCTGGCATTGTCCAGCAATTCGCATCTACAGCAGAAGGACAGAATGGCAAGCTCTGGATTTGCTTTTAAGATTTCCCGTTGGAAAACTCTTCGTGTGTGAGAAATCTTCAAGCCTTCAAACGCCATACCAGCGCCTGTCTTTACACACAGCTTGATCTACGCTCTGGGTATTTTTAACTGGTTTAAAAGCAACCAGCCTGCCTTCCATGGAGGACCTGTATCCTGCACGAACCAGAAAGAGGGCCAAGAAAGTATCTACAGACCCCTCACACCCTGGACATAAACTGTTTTAATTTATTCCCCTTAGGATGCCGCTATAGGGCACTGCATGCCCAAAAAACCAGATAGATAGTTTTTTGCTTCCTATGCCATAACTCTGCTGAATACTTAATTCTTATTTCTCATCTTCACTCATCTTTCTTATTATCTTCTTCTATTCGTTTCTTATGGTTTATCAATAGTTGTTTGTAACTTAGGATTAATGATGGTAACTATGATTTATGACCTATGACTTGCTATCTACTGTGAACTTATGCACCGGAGACCAATTCCTTCTTGGGTGTCCGACCACCATTGGCCAACAAAGAAATTTTACTTTATTCTATGCTATGCTATGCCTTGCATCCATAAGGACTAGAAACACGGTCATTGTTAATGCACACATATATTTTATTACAGTATGGAAACGAGGCACACACGCACACACCCAAAGGAAATTCAATTCAGCAATGCCCCTTTCCCACGCTTTCTCCCTCCCAGCCTAACTTACCAAGATCAATAAAATAGGAGTCGGCGAAACTTCCACTCGGATTTGCTCCGGCGATAATAACCACTTTCCCATTTTTGCTGCCTGGCTCCAGAGGAGGCAGATATAAAGAGTTTTGGCCCACACGAGCGCAGGGGCTCTTCCCACATAAGGCAAGGGAATACCTGCCAGGCACAGGGAGAGAGAAAACCGGAAGAAACATTCATCCAGCTGCTGATAGAATATGTGTAACTCGCGGTTCAACTCTGATGATCTCCGAGCTGGGTGGTTTCCTTGCAGACGTTTCGTGACCCAACTAGGTAACATTGTCAGGGCTAGAAGAGAGTGAGGTTTGCAGAGAGGAGGAGGAGGAGGAGGATTGTGGTACTCTCTGAGCTTGGTGGTTTTCTTGAAGATGTTTCATGACCCAAGCAGGTAACATTGTCAGTGCTACGGAGTATGTGGTGTTGCTCTCTGTTTACTTTCACTCTGCAACCAGCATCTAGTATCCAGATAAGTAGGGATTCAGACAAACTATCAAGGGGAAAACAATACCCTACTCAAGGATCCACCAAGGAGAAAACCACACTCCACCAAGACTGAAAAGAAAAGCTACCGTATATAAACAGGGAGCAAACACTCATTAGCACAGATGAGGTTACCACGTTGGGTCATGAAAGGTCTGCAAGAAAACCGCCAAGCTCACCGTCCTCTTCCACAAACCCCCCACTCCCTCTATTACTGATTATGTTATCTAGTTGGGTCACGAAATGTCTGCAAGAAAACCGCCAAGTCTCAGGGAGCATTAAGGGCCCCATTTATGCAGGTGATTTCCCCCTGCCCCAAATACAGGCAACATCAGGCCCATGAAGTTGTCCAGCGCGGTACATTTTCCCACCTTCTTTCCCAAGCCAGGGCTATTGCTTATTAGGAATTCTGCAAAAAGGGGCCCTGGAATTTTGCACACACCCTGGATATCTTCACGTGGCGAAGAAGACCTGCCTCAAACTGAACCCGGAAGCGGGCACCAAGGAGAAAGGGAGGCGACGCCTATCTGAGGGTGCTCCGCTCTCTTTCCATTTTGGGGGGCAAGGCTCTTTTGCAAAAGTCCGGCTCTTCTCCTGCCCGTGCAGACGTGCCAAGCCTCCCTTGCCCTTGCTGTGTACATGCATGCAAGGTTGCGAACGGGGGAGGGGCTTTTGCGATCTCCCCTCCTTCCCTCCCCGCTACACCCTCGCCCGACCCCTGCCTTCAGCATCCCTGGCCCCCTTTTGGCGCTGATCCTAGCAAGCGCATGCACACGTGCATGGAGACATGTACCAGGTGGCCGCCTGCGGTTTCTGCCGGGGCTTCAGCTTCCGCAGCGCCTTCTCCATTGAGGCAAACACGGGGGGAGCCGGGGGAGGGGAGGGGGAAAGAGGCGTGGGTTTTGCATACAGACCCCTCCCCCTCCCCGGGCCGTTGCTAGGCGATTGGCACCTCCCCCAACCATAGGAGGGGCTTGTTTGCATTTATTTGTTTTATCGTTTCTTTATTGCACCAATTTATTGGGCGCCCACAAGCGGGCCAAGGTGCAAATCTCCCTTTTGCAAAAGATCTGCGTTTGCACAAAATATTAAAATAATAATAATTGTGGGTTGAAAACTGTGGCTTGTCTCAAAGTCTTCTGCCTCCATTGCACCTTCTTCCCCATTCCATGGCTTTGCAACGCTTGCTTGGACACCAATGCCCCTAATCCCCGGCCAAGCGCCCGCCCTCTGGGCATTGCAACAGCCTCTCTTAAAGAAACCGCCGGCAAAAGCGTTGACTCCAAATCCCAGCGTGCCTCGGGGCAGGGCGGCCGTTTCGACGCCATAATGGACTCCCGAGGGGCGGGGGGAGAGGGGGAAAAGAGAGAGAGAGAGTTTGGGAGAGAAGCCGGAAGCAGGCTACCGGAAGCGGTCCTGGGCGGACCCGAAAGAAGTCTCCGATTTCCCCCCCCCCAAAACCGGAAGTTTCCTTTCTTACTTCCGGTGTGGCCGGGACCGGAGAGAAGGAGGTGGGACAAAAAAAGCGGCGTCCTTCTGACCGGCTGAAGCCCCCCCGCGAGCCGGTTTTGCGTCGCCTGACGGTGCCCGGCCCGGGTTTCCTTCCCACCCCCGCCTCTCCGACCATAGGCCCCAAACCCGGAAGTGCAGCGGCTCGCAGCTTCCGGTCCGGGCCCCTCTTGCTGTTCTCTCTTCTTTCCGCCTCCTCCGCCTCCTTCCCCTCCCCCTTCCCTCCTCCCCCCTCCCCCCCCCGGAGCGCCTCTCCCAAAATGGCGCCGCTGGACCTGGATAAGTACGTCGAGATAGCGAGGCTCTGCAAGTACCTGCCCGAGAACGACCTCAAGGTGAGGCGGGGGTGAGGGTGGGCTTCCCTGGGGGGGCCTCTAGGAAAGGGATCCTGGGAAGAGGGGAGGGCAAAGCAAGGGGTCCCCCTATAGACCGATACCCCCTATTCTTCCTCCCCCCCCCGCCCCAATTGGGCTCCCTCGAGTCCCACCTTGACAGGATGCCTGGGAGCCTCCTTTCTTTTACTTTATTTTCCTCCTCCCTCTCCTTCCGGGTTCAGCCCCCCTCCCCACTCCCTTTGCCTGGGGTTTCCTCGTGGCCCCCTTTCCAGGTTGAATCTGAACCTGCCCGGTTGGGTTTTGGGTGGGGGTGATGGGAAGGATCAGCCTTTGGAAGAGGGGGGTGGATTCAATTCAGACCTCTATTGCCACACACAACATGCGTACAGTGAGATAGGCTGAGCCTCCCTTTGTGCACCCCCCACCCCAAAAACACAATCGAATCAGCCTTTATTGTCAGAGTGCAATACGTACAGTGAATGTACAACTCACACTGAAGATGACAACAACAATAAAAAATCCCCTAACTCAATGGATCCTGCTTACAAATGCACAATCCTATCGTGAAGTGAACTTTTTGCACGTTGCCCATATTGAGATCCCAATAAAGGAGGACATTTGTAGCTCGGGGTTGAAAGGAGGGGTGCTGAGGGACTCTCTTGACCCAACTAAGTGATAGCATCAGTGCTAAAAGGGAGATTGTGGGTTTGTGGGGAAGAGGAGGAGGATTGCGTGGGGTCCTGGGTGCTCTCTGAGCTTTGGGACTTTTCTTGTAGACGTTTCATGACCCAACTAGGTAACATCATCCGTGCTAGAGAGCAGTGGGGTTTGCATAGAGGAGGAGGGCTGTGGGATCCTTGGTGCTGTCTGGCAGGCGTTTCGGCACCCAAACTAGGTAACTAGGGCTAGATTAAATGCTGATGTTGTGACCTAGTTTGGGGTTGGCAAGAAAACCACAAAGTTCAGTGAGCACCGAGGACCCTTCAGATAATGGAATGGACACCCATGAAAGAAGTGATGGATGCCTTTCTTGGGCTTTGACGGCCATTCAGAAATGAAATAATATATTTTGGGACCATAAGCGGGATTTGATTGTCATGTCAGCAACCTAGGTGAACCATGCTCTGACCTGTTCTGTCTTTCCAGCGGTTGTGCGACTATGTCTGTGACCTGCTCCTAGAAGAATCGAACGTGCAGCCGGTGTCTACCCCTGTTACCGTCTGCGGTGACATTCATGGACAGGTGGAATAATTTCCTATGGACCCTGCCTTTGGCGCTGCTGTAAAGAGTGTGAAACCATTAGCTTAGTGAAAACAGGAATGACTGCTGGGTGCAGAAGTCAGACTTGCGGGGAAGAAAGAGCAGGCTTTGAGCAGGAGAAGGAGAAGGGCCTCTCTGAGTTGCCGTAGTGACGAAAGAAATATCCTTTTTCCTGACATAGCATTGCAAATGTAAAGCAGAAATGTTCATATTAAGTAATTTTTGGAAGGTTAGCAAGGCCCGTAGCTCAAATGGGGTGCTAGAAGAGTACATCAGACAAGTGAGACTTCTAGCTCATTCTAGAGAATTTCTTCCCAGAATTCAATCTGTTTTTTTCTTCCATCTAATTCTACTTTTTCCCCCTAATGATCATTCTGTCCTCTCTTAACATATATCTAATTAGCAGTCAGGTGCATTTTTTCCTTAAGATTTTCATAGTTTTTGATTTTACACAAACCTCAACTCGTATCTCACTTTTGCTTAGCAGCGGTGCCATCTTGGGTACCTAAACAATGCCAGCATTAGTGAAAAAGAGATAATTGTAGCGTTTCCCTTGGATCAACAGCTATCAGATTTGCCCTAAGATCTGTTTTTTAAGCTTTTTATCAGTCCTTGCTGTTGTAATGTCTTAGAATCTGTCAACTGCATGCACGTTATTATTTTGGTCAGGCTTTGGGGACCATCTTTAGTATTTGTAAAAGGCCACAATTTCATCCAAGTTCAAAATAATTTCAATGGATACTTGTTTGTTTTTGCTTTTCAGTTTTATGATCTATGTGAATTATTCAGAACTGGAGGTCAGGTTCCTGACACAAACTACATATTTATGGTATGAACAATATATTTTGTGATATGTCAGGAGAAGATAGCTGTTGTGGTTTTGTGTTCTGCTCTGAGAATACCATTCCTGTTCTTTTGCTGAGGGCATATAGTTTGAAAAAGGGAGTGCTAGCTAATAGTAATGGCAGGTTAAAAAATCACACACTTTGGGCTGCCAGGTTGATTATCTAGGCGTATCTTTTTAGTTGACATAGTGAACTACAGCATAATGTTTTCTGCCTGTTTAGTGTAATAAAAACCCTGCTAATATTGATTACCCGTTCATAAAATTGCAGTCTGAGCACAATGTTGCCAATTAAATATGTGGTAAAGCATTGTTTTGACTTCCAGGGTGATTTTGTAGACCGAGGCTATTACAGTCTAGAGACATTTACTTATCTTCTTGCCCTGAAAGCAAAGTGGCCGGATCGAATCACGCTCTTACGTGGGAATCACGAAAGCAGACAGATAACCCAAGTCTACGGATTTTATGGTGAGTTCCCTGAAGCTGACCCAGCTCCTTGCAGCTCCTTGCAATTTCGGGTGGCTTTTTTAAAAGGGCCATAGAAACATTTGTCACTGACAGCTAAAAGCAAGCATAAATCTCATAGGTTGTGGAATTCAACCTGGTACTCGGGGATGGGGAAACCTCAGGGTTAAGGCACTAGGCTAGAAACCAGGAGACGGTAAGTTCTAGTCCCGTTTTAGCCACAAAACCCAGCTGGGTGGACCAATCACCAGAAAATGGTGAATTTTAGCCCCATCTTAGGCATGAAAGCCAACTGGGTGACTTTGGGCCAGTCTCCCTCTCTCAGCCCAGTCTACCTCACAGCGTGGTGGTTGTGGGGAAAAAATAGGAGGAGGAATATTTACATTTACCACCTTGAGCTGCTTATTTTAAAATAAAGGCAGGATATAAATGAAAATAAATACTAGAACATGGCATCCTTTATTTTCTCTCCTCCCAAACAGATGAATGCCAAACAAAATACGGCAATGCCAACGCCTGGAGATACTGCACTAAAGTCTTCGACATGCTCACGGTAGCAGCGGTAAGTGTCTCCCCCCTTGCCCCCCCCCCCCAAAAAAATAGGATTTATGTGTTCTCTCCTCTTAACCCCAGGTGGCTTTTGACTTTTCGAGCGTGAATAAAAACCCCTGTTCTGTTTCCCTCAAGTTGATAGATGAACAGATCCTCTGCGTGCACGGAGGCCTTTCTCCCGACATCAAAACACTGGACCAGATCCGAACCATCGAGCGGAACCAAGAGATCCCCCACAAAGGGGCTTTCTGTGATCTCGTCTGGTCCGACCCAGAGGACGTGGACACCTGGGCCATCAGTCCTCGGGGCGCCGGGTGGCTTTTTGGTGCTAAAGTGACCAATGAGGTAAAACTCCGGACAAAATTCGCCCCGGCGTTATTTTGCCCGGTTTCTCGTTTTCCGAGCCTTGCAGTAGCTGGTCTGATTTCCGTTCAGAATATTATCTGAGCTAGGAAGCTAGGAACTTAATTCACCTTTATTAAAAGAATAGCAGTTGAACAGTGCTTGCTGTTCAGGTTTCTAAAAAATATGCAGACTTTTGCCGTATCCCGTCTCTGCTTTTTTGACCTAAACCCTCATTGACAACTGCCCAAATTCAGATATTACAGTTAGTAAACCAGGGTTTATATGCCACAGCTTAAAACACTCTGTGGATCTGGCCAGGTTGAATAATGGATGGCCCTTGACTCACAACGGTTTTGTTGAGTGGCGAAGTAAACCAAAGCGACTTATGACCATTGTTCACACTTAAAACTGTCGCAGCATCATGATCACATGACCCAAATCGGGCTCATATTTATGACAGTCACAACGTCCCGCCCCTTTGGACAAGCAAACTGAGTGGGGATGCTGGATTCGCTTAACAACCGTGGGACTAACTTAACTAAACTGCTGTGATTCACTTAACAACCGGGGCATCCAAAGGTGGTTAAAATGGGGCCAAAACCCAACCAACGTCTCGCTTAGCGATGGAAATTTGGGGCTCGACTGCCTGTGTATAAAAAAACCCCAGCCTGAGTTCGCGCTGTCAATTGTCTCCCCTCCTCCTTCTCTTTCTCGACAGTTTGTCCACATCAACAACTTGAAACTGATCTGCCGGGCCCACCAGCTGGTCCACGAAGGGTATAAATTTATGTTTGACGAGAAGCTGGTGACGGTCTGGTCCGCTCCAAACTACTGCTACCGCTGTGGGAATATCGCCTCAATCATGGTCTTTAAGGACGTGAACACGCGAGAACCAAAGCTCTTCCGGGCCGTGCCAGATTCCGAACGCATCATCCCTCCGAGAACCACCACGCCGTATTTCCTCTGAAGTGACCCTCTCCGGCCCTCCCTCCTCTCTTTGTGACGTACATCCTATGGAGCACTTTGCTGCTGAAATGCTTTTTTTTATTATTATTTTTAAATTATCTAAAAAAAAATGTATATGGTCTGTAGCGTTGCGTTTCTTAAATCTGCCTTTTCCCGTGCGCCGCCTCCTCCCTTTTCTAGGACTTAAAAGATCGCTTTTGAAACGTCCCACGAGCACTTGACACACAAAAACACACATTATTTAGTGCTTTTGATTTCCTGTTTTTGTTTTAGGGGAAACTTTCCCTTCGATATATAAAAAAAAATCAAATAAAAACAGAGCAAGACGTCAGAACTAGCCTGATTCTCCTTTATTTCGTTCAGGAGTTGGCTTGGGATTTTTTTTTCTTCTTTTTTGTTTTGGATAAGCTTTTTCAGAAATTTCAGCAGCAAAGTTGAATTAATATGCCTGTTGGGACTGACTTAGTCCAATTTCAGGGCATATCCTTAGGCTGTAAAAGGTGGTCTGGCCTTGTTTATATTTTAAATCCTACATAAGTGGTTTAGGAAACTGCCCCTTATCTATATCTATATATATATTTCCTTTCAGCTTTGTCTTGGTTTTTAGGAAGTGAAACAGGAAACCCATTACAGGTATTTGAATTTGTACATTAAAATAACTGTTCTGATTTTTCTCAGATACCTTGTATTTTTTAATAAAAGTGATAATCTTGAACCCCTGCCTCTAGGTGAAACTTGAAAATAAAACGGTACCTTGTTGTGAATGAGCGCCTTCATGTGCCCATCTTGACTAAAACAGTTGGCTTTTTCAGGGGATATTTTGTAAATACATTTGAGCCTTTAGAAATGCTGATCTAAGGAAGATTTTTGGGATTTTTGCCCTCAACAATTATCTTGGGAGAAATATTTTAAGATCTCATATGAAATTGTGTTTGTTAAAATTGTTAAACCAGTCTAGCACATAGCAGGAGTTTGGTATTTTATCTCTTGCTTTAGCAGCACCTTGAAATAATGCTTATACAATTTTTATTTTTTTATTTCAAATTCCTAGTTGTAGCAATGTAGAAATTGTTCAAGCAGTACCCATTTGATATATATAAATTTTAAATATTAACTTGAAATGTGGACATCCCGTTACTCATCCCAATTTAAATCTCACTTTTTGAAAACAAGTTTTACAAGAGCATGGTAATTTTTATAACCGATACTATATTTTCCAACTTGAGGCCTTTAATATGACACAAATTTTGAATTACATATGAGAATACCTGACTAAGCCAGGATTTGTTTTTAGTTTTGCAATGCATTCTTGGCCTAATGGAGGGAAAACTTCAGGAATAAAATGACATTTTGTCTACCATTTTAGGGAACAGTAGTTTTTTTTAACATGTATTTATAATCCTTTTATATACACAGTATATAATTTTATATATGCAGTACATAATACACAGTATATATTACTATCTTGTGGAAGAAATATAGCAACCTGAGGCAGTTTTACTACCCACCTTTGAAAATCCAGGATTAGCTACAACATTCTGAGAAAACTTTGAAATGCAGCATTTTCCCCTGTATATAAATCAGGGCCACAATATTCCAAGATAAATATTTTTTTAAAAAAACTTTTACCCAAAATAAGGCCTTTAAAGGCAGTTATTTAAAACACTTTTCAGTGGATAAATTCTATACAAAAAAACTACACTGGTCTCAGCAACCTGGTTTGCTTTTGACAAGTTTCTCCCCCAAAGATTTTTTTTTTATCTGAATCAGACCTGCTTTATTCTACTCACAAAAAAATAAGAGTCACCCCAGATTCTTGGCTGTTTTTATTTTCCTGCATCACCCCTCAGCATCTTCCAGAAGGAAATTCTTGGGTTCTCAGAAACATGAAGCCTAGAAAACTAGTTTCTGCTTTGCTTTGCCTTTAAAAAGGCTTAGCAGGCAGAGACCTCAGTGACTTCTTGCAGTGATGCTGCTTCAGCTCCTTTAATATCTCATTTTCCTCAGAAATTTCTTCTATCTTCCTCTTCTGTTTCTTCTATCTTCTTCTGCCTTCTTTCTCCAGGATCTTCCTCTTCTATGTTCTGTCTTCTATCTTCCTTTTGTTTCTTCTGCCTTCTATCCTCTTCCCGCTGCTGGTCTGACTGCCCCTCTGCTCGCAGCCTCCTTTTATACCCTTTTCGCCCCAAACCCGCTCTCTGCTGATTGGTGGCCCCAACCTGGCCCTCCCTATTTTTATTGGCCCTTAGCCGGGTCATCCCATTGGCCCCTCAACCTGCGCATCGGCCAATGTCCTGCTCTTTCTCAGGCCTCTTCCCATTGGCTGAAAATGAGAGGTGTTTGAACCCCACAGTTTGCCCTTAAGCTGAGCCAAATTGGTGCCTTAATTGACATTGGGCTCTAATCCCATTTTTAAACAGAAAGCCAGCTAGGTGACTTTGAGCCTATCCCTCCCTCCCTCCCTCTGCCTGATCCACCTCACAGGGTGGTTGTTGTGAGGAACATACGAAATGGAAGGAGTGTTAGATCTGTTCACCGCCTGGTGTTGTTTATAAAAATAATAAAAGGATAAATAATGAATCTCAAACTTTGCAAGGCATCAGGCTTCTTATCCTTGTGGGATCGCTCGGTGCCCTTGAAGCAGGACTTTCCTACCTCCCAAGGACGATGGTGTTGGGTTGGGTTGGTGTACTCTATGCTCCCAGGTAGATCCCAGGATCAATTGATGTCGGGATCAATGGGGGAATGTGTCTGTCTGTCCATCTATCTATCCACTCAACTTTCAAAGATAAAGATGAGACATAGAGATGGATGACTGCATGGACATGATAAAGATAGATAGGTAGGTAGGTGATAGAATAGAAAGATAGGATAGAAATGATAAGATAGGATAGACAGGTATAAGACCAACAGAGATATAGTTAAAATAGATGGATAAAATGGAGACTAGATTAGATGATGGATGGATGGATAGATAAGATAGTATCTATCTATCTATCTATCTATCTATCTATCTATCTATCTATCTATCTATATCTATCTATCTATCTATCTATCTATCTATCTATCTATGGGACGTGCATAGGTGCACCAACTTGCCTACCGTCCCTGTCCTATTGTTTCTTTTATTTTTCTTATATGTACCCATTTCATGTATTCATAACTATGTTTATACTTATACCTGTTATCTTGTAAGCAATTGACAAATCAAGATAAATAAAAATTAAAATATGAATAGATATAGATATATACTTAGAGATGGATGGATAGATATAGATTAGGGAGAGAGATAAGGATAGAGATAGATGGATGAGAGAGTTAGATTAGATAGAGATGGATGGATAGATATAGATTAGAGAGAGAGAAAGAGAGAGAGAGAGATGGATATAGATAGATGGATAGATAAGGAGGTTGGGAGAGGAGAGATGATAGAGAGGAGAGATGATAGAGAGGAGAGCAACGGGAAAGAACGAACAGAAGCGAAACCGAACCCCATAAAGAAGACGGGAGGCAGCAGGAAGGAAGAAAGAAAGAAGGGTCACGTGACCTTCCACCCGTCCGAGGCGCCGCTAGAACTCCTCCCCAGCGGGCCACGCCCCAGCCGAAGCCCCTCCCCCCGGCCGAACGTCCGCTCCGGGCCACGCCCCGCCCTCCGCCGAGCCCCCCCTCCTCCTCCTCCGGGCGGGCGGGGTTTCCGCTTCCGCGGAGGTTCGGCGTGCGAGCGGAGCTGTTTGGCGCCCGCCCGGCGCGGCCATGGCGCGGAGCTCCCTCTCGTCGCGCTTCCGACGGCTGGACATCGACCAGTTCGACGAGAACCGCTTCGTGGAGGAGCCCGACGCCGCCGAGGCCGGGAGCGGAGCCGGCGCGGCCGAGGGCAACGGAGGGCCCGGCCCGGAGGTGGAGGCGGCGCTGCGGCAATATCCTTTCCAGGGGGGGGGGGGCTCCTCTCGTTTGGGGGGGGGGAGGAGGAGGAGGAGGCCTTGCCGGGACTCCAAGACCCATACGCCGCCCCCGATCCCTGCCTGGAAGGAGGTTCCCCTCCCCCTTCATGGCCATCCCGGGATCAATTGGGTCAGGCTCTCTCCCTGCCCGCCTGCCTATCGGCTGTCTCTATCGATCTCTCCGTCCTGCCTTTCTCTCTGTCCGTTTCTATCTATTTCTATCTGTCTCTTCCAGCTCTCCATCCCATCTCATCTCGCTAGCCTGTCTCCATTTATCTCTTATCATCTATCTAGTATCCATTTATCTACTTTATCCACTCAATGTATTTATCTCCCCATCTATCCATGCACTTATCATCCAGCCATCAGTGCTATCTTATGCATCGATGTATCTTTCTACCCATCTATCCATTCATTGTCCATCATTATGTCTCTCCATCCATCCATCCCAATCTATCTACTCTCAGTATCTATCTCTATTGTATCTATCTGTCTATCTATCATCTATCTCCAACTCCTATATCTATCTCTACATCTATTTATCTCTGTCATTTATCTATCAAATCTATCCATCTCTGTCTATATGAATCATCTGTATCACATCCATCCATTTGTCTGTGTCTATATCATCTTTCCATCCATTTTATGTATCTGTCCGTCGGTCTTATCATATCCATCATATATCTCACCCATCCTCCTGTCTTGTCTCTCTCATCCATTTCTCGTACCTCCCCCCCCCCCCCCCCAACCTGAGTTGATATGCAGTTCCACCGGGCAAGTGACTAGACATTCATGCTGAGCGAGATTGCTGCTGGTTCAGGGTTTTGCCAAGTTTTTTTTTTTAATCTGGGTGGGTCACCTGGAGGTCATTTGTGTGTGTGTGTGTGCGCTTCCTGCTTGGAAATAGAGGAACCCCCACGGGCAATATTTTTTTTTACAAACTCCCTGGCTAACCTCATCCTCACATTCCCCCTGCAGTAAACGTCCTGCCCCTTAAGCTGTTTTGGCCGCTGGTGGTGCCCGCAGCCTCGTTTCAGATCTCTTGGCAGTTTTTTTATGGCACTCTGGCAACAGTCGGGTCTATTTCTATCCGGGCTTGATCGCTGCGCTTCGGGGTTTGCTTTTGGCATTTATACGCCCACCGGTTCATCCCTAGCCTGCCGGGGTCTTGCGTTAGAACTCCCTTTCTGGCTTGTCTGCCTGGATTCGCTTCTCTTTCTCTGCATTTTGCAGCGTGTCTAAAAGGTAGGTAGGTAGGTAGATAAGAGAGAGAGATAGGTAGGTAGAAGACAGAGAAAACAGATTGAGATAGGTGGATAGAAGATAGAGAAGAGAGAGGTAGGTAGGTAGAGATAGGCTGCAAATGCAGAGAAAGAGAAGCAAATTGTGTGTGTGTGTATGTCTTTATATGCCTTTTTCTTTTCCCGGGGCTGCAGGTTGAGGCCTGTCCTTGAGTGAGATGTGAATTTCACAGCCACACACGCCTGCCTCCCTCCCTTCCTCCCCACCCTGGCTTGAGCATCTAACGGGAATTGCTTGTTGTTT